TGCAGATTGGTGCAGCCACTTTGGGAAAAAATATGGAGGTTCCTCAAAAAATTAAAAATGCAACTGCCTAATGATCCAGCAATTCCACTTCTGTGTATATGTCCCAAGAAACCCAAAACACTAATTTGAAAGAATATATACACTCCTATGTTCACTGCAGCATTATTCATAATAGCCAAGATATATAAGCAACTCACATTCTCATCAATAGAAGAATGGGTAAAAAAAAAAAAACCTGTGGTACATCTATACAATGAAATATTACTCGGCCATAAAAAGAATGAAATCTTACCATTTGCAACAGTATGGGATTGATCTAGAGGGTAATATGCTAAGTGAAATAAGTGAGACAGAGAAAGACATACCATATGATTTCACTTACATGTGAATCAAAACAATAAATAAAAAACTCACAGATACAGAAAACAAACTGATGGTTGCCAGAGGGGAGGGGAGTTGAGGGAGTGGGTAAAAGAGGTGAAGGGATTATGTACAAATTGGCAGGTACGAAATAGTCATGGAGATGTAAAGTACAGCATAGGGAATATAGTCAATAATATTGTAATAACTATGTAGTATGGTGTGCCAGGTGGGTACTTGAAATATTGGATCACTTTATAAAGTACATGATTGCACCACTATGCTGTACACCTGAAAGTAAAATAAAATAATGCTGAATATCAATTGTAATTTTAAAAAATGTTTGAATCAAAAAACAAAAATAGCCCTGGCCGGTTTGGCTCAGCAGTTAGAGCACTGGCCCGCAGACCCGAGAGTCCCAGATTCGGGTCCCGCTAAGGGCACATACCTCGGTTGCAGTTTGTCCCCAGCTCCAGTTGGGGTCGTGTGGGTGGCAACCACTCGATGTGTCTCTCTCACGTCGATGTTTCTGTCTCTCTTTTCCTCCCTCTCTCCCTCCCGCTCTATCTGAAGATAAATACAAAAAAGTCTTCTGGTGAGGATAAAAAACAAAAACAAAAGTGCAAGGTGAAGCAGCAACAGCTGATATAGCAAGTTATCCAGAAGATCTAGTGAGAGCGGCTATACTAAACAACAGATTTCAATGTAGATGAAACAGCCTTATATTGGAAGATGATACAATCTAGCACTTAATAGCTTGAGAGAGGTCATTGCCTGGCTTCAAAAATTCAAAGGACAGACTGACACGCTTCTTGGGGACTAATGTAGCTGGTGACTTCAAGTTGAAGCCAATATTCATTTATCATTCTGAAAATACTAGGGCCCTTAAGAAATACACTAAATCTACTCTGTACTCTATAAATGGGGTAACAAGGCCAGGACAAAAGTACATCTGTTCACACCATGGTTTCCTGAATATTTTAAGTCTATTGTTGAAGACCTAATGCTCAGAAAAAAAGATTCCTTTCATTGATAATACACTGGTCACTCAAGATCTCTGACAGAAATGTATGATAAGACTCATGTTATTTTCATGCCTGCTAACACAATTCTCATTCTTCAGCCTATAGATAGATCAAGACGTGATTTTGCCTTCCAAGTCTTATTATTTAAGAATTACATTTCATAAGGCTATAGCTGCCATGGATAGCAATTCCCCTAATGGATCTGGGCAAAGTAAACTGAAAACCTTCTGCAAAGTATTTACCATTCTAGATGGCACTGAGAATATTTGTAATTCATGGGAAGAGGTCAGAATATCAACATTAACAGGAGTTTGGAAGAAGTTGATTCCAATCCTCCTGGATGACTTTGAGGGGTTCAGAATTCAGCAGAGAAAGTAACTGCAGATGTGGATGAAACAGCAAGGGAACTAGAATCAGAAGTAGAGCCTAAAGATATGACTAAATTACAACAATCTCATGATAAAACTTTATGGGTGAGGAATTGCTTCATAGGGATGAGCAAAGAAAGTGGTTTCTTGAGTTGAAATCTGCTCCTGGTGAAGATGCTGTGAAGACAATTGAATTGACAACAAAAGATTTAGAATACTACATAAACATAGTTGATAGAGCAGTAGCAGGCTTTAATAAGATTGGGTCCCATTTTGAAAGAAATACTATTGTGGGTAAAATGCTATCAAACAGCATCGGATGCTACAGAGAAATTGTGAAAGGAAGAGCCAACTGATGTGGCAAAGTTGATTGCTGTTTTATTTTAAGGAACTGCCAGTCACCCCAACCTTCAGGAACCACCATTCTAATCAGTCAGCAGCCACTAACATTAAGGCAAGATCCTCCACCAGCAAAGATTATGACTTGCTGAAGGCTCAGATAATTAGTATTTTTTAGCAATAAAGTATTTTAAATTAAGGTATGCACTTTTTTTTTAATACATAACACTACTGAACACTTAGCAGACTATAGTGTGGCCTAACTTTTGCATGCACTGGGAAACCAAGAAATTTGTGTGACTCGTTTTACTGTGATATTCACTTGACTGCGGTATTCATCTTATTGCAATGGTCTGGAACCGAACCTGTAGTACATCCAAGGTATGCCTGTAGTTAAATTTTTCCTTGTATTCATCTTAATATATCTGGCAAATTGGAATATCTGGCTCTGTGCCTTTCAGGTATTTGTGAATTATGCAAATCATACTGTACTTTTAAATTACTCTAATCACATTCTCATGAATGCACATATCGTACTGTATATTTGAAGTGGGGAGAAGAACTTTATCATTATATCCCCCAAAGCAGTATTTTCAGGGTAACATATAAAGACTTTCTAGGAGGTATTAAGACAGGGAAAAATTCTAAAGACTGTATTATATGTCCTTTTGCATAGCAGGTGGTCTCAGATATACTGATTTCTATAAAACAGATGGCGTTTTCAATGAAGTTGCTCACTATCACTAAACATAATTTTGATAAATGATGATTAAGTAATTTTGGAATATATATAAAAACATGTTTAAAGAATTGAGTGACATTATTTTAATAAAACTGCAGTCATAGATTATTTTTTTGTGTGTGTGAACAAAGCTTCTTAGTACCTAAAAGAAAAAAAAAAACAAAACAAAACAGGAAAGGAGTAGGTAGAACTAAGAGGCTGAATCCTATCTTATCCTTTCAGTAAACAACATTCATTAATGGATACAAAAATTAACTGGGACAAAGGCCCCTCTATTTTAAGACATTTCCTATGATATTTTATTTTTTAAGTGTAATAATTATGAAAATTTTTAAATTAAATTGCCGTAATTGTTATTAATATAAAATAAAATTTTCTACATTTAGTTAACATTTGGAATAATGTAGTTTTTTATAGACAATTTTCTTTTGTATTTCTGCATGTCTTGTAAGTAGAGGTAATGAGTACCTCTGCTCAGCCCTTGCTCAGCCCTATCTTTTTAAGTATGTTAGCACAGGGAATATAGCATAGCATAGTCTTTTTTTTTTAATCCTCACCCAAGGACATTTTTCCATTTTTTTGTTCAGATAGAGCGGGAGGGAGAGAGAGGAAGAGAGAGAGAGAGAAACATCGATGTGAAGGGACACATCGAGTGGCTGTCACCCGCACGACCAACCAGGGCCGGGGACAAACTGCAACTGAGGTACATGCCCTTAGCGGGAACCGAACCCGGGTTTCTCTGTACCGCAGGCCGACGCTCCAACCGCTGAGCCAAACCGGCCAGGGCGCATAGCATAGTCTTAAACAGTAGAAATAGTATCTTACTCTGAAGCCAAGGGTAACCACGCTTACTGTACATTATAAGAGATTCAGGCTCCCTAAATTTATGGTTCCTCTTTTGTAATATAACCCATGGCATATGCATCTGTCACCTGGCCTTCTTCACATCAACCTGTGGGAATTGAGGCACAAATAACTCATGCAAATGTTGGTACTCTGACTACTGCTAATGTGGAACTCTTATGTTTTCTCCCAGCATGCATTAAACTGAGGCATACCAACATGTTAGCTTGCATGTAGAATAAACCTTAGATCCTCTACTATTTCGACAACAGTCACAGATAATTTTTAAATAAATCTAATTTCAGTATGTATACACAAACAATTGTGTAAGAGTATGTAATTTGTTGCAAATAAATAAAATAGGAAATAAAACTATAGTGTGCCTTATAAAAAGATTTTGTGAGGAAGTGCAATGGAAATACGGGTTCAAAGAGAAAAAGTAATGATGTACATTCTGTTAAAGAACAGCATATTCAAGCAGTTTTAAATGGATAATGGTAGAGGGCAAATTGTTATGATGTTTAGATTCCACTAGATATAGTTTTAAAAAAATCAATGTGACAGTTTTAATTTAAAATGTCAGTATTGCCCAGCCGGTGTGGCTCAGTGGTTGAGCATCGACCCATGAACCAAGAGGTCACCAGTTCAATTCCCAGCCATGGCACATGCCCAGGTTGTGGGCCAAATACCCAGTGGGGGGCATGCAGGAGGCAGCCAATCGATGTTCTCTCTCACTGATGTTTCTATCTCTCTCTCCCTCTCCCTTCCGCTTTTTCTAAAATCAATAAAGGAAAAAAATTTAAAATTTAAAATGTCAATATTTACAATACAGTGATGATAGACATCCTTTACAATTGCTTAAACTTCTGATTAAAAAATTTATTGGATAGGGAATGCAAAAAATAGTTTGAAGACCATACCTTTTTAGAAACTAATTTAGTGCTATGTATTTAGCAGGCAGTCAGTAAGTATTTGAGGATATTTTTAAAAAGGCATTACATATCATTACCTGCAATGAGGTAGGAGCCACAGCAGTTAGTATTCTCATGAGCCTTCTTGCTCTAAGACATTTTAAGTGTCTTTAGTACTAAAACTGGATGTACATTCGTATTTTTTTGCATTAAATCACAAAGAATAACATTTAAAATAGGGTAAAGAGTATAAAATAGTACCTAAATTACTATGACTAGATTTAATGTTAGGTTTTAATCATAAACTATATGTTAAAGAAGTACTTTGTCTCTGGTGTTAAGTGATATACAAAATCATTTTAAGTCAAAGGATCTCATAATATTTTTAAGTTTTGGTTGTTTGTCTCTTTACCTTTCTTGTGGCACAGCAAACCAATATTCATGTTTCTTATCTCTCTGTGCATATTGTTGCATTGTTGCACTTGCTTGGGACACAAATGTTTTCCTCATTGGTTTTCCAACTCTGAGACATAAGAATTTATGTAACTGATGCCTTTTCTTTTCTTTTAAAAGTGCAGAACCTAGAATTGAAACACAGTGTTTATTCAATTCTTATATACCATGCTTAAATAATTTAGATTAAATAATGTATATATCTAAACTTCTGACAAATAATTGCAGAATAATGCTTCTATTCATCGATACTCAGGTGTATTCTAGAGTAACAAGTAAGTTTGTAGAATTTTTAAAGGTTAACTTTAATATGGTTATTAAGAGAAATTTAATTTAAAAGTTTCTAAAATTTTTACATACATATTAAGGTAGGTGATAAAAACAATGAACAATATGCTAGATTCAGCCATCTGTTTAGACAGTTTATTAAGCCTGAATTATCGTTAACTCTCTCAATCAGAGGTTCTGACATAAGGTGCATTAAGGGTCTGACAATAAGGTTGAATTTAAAAATCTGGATGTTAATTAGCTTATGAAGGCATCATAGTGTGGAGGAAATAGTTATACTCAGGAAATCTGGGTACTAGTCATGGCTTTTTTCTGTGTAACATTATGGAAGGCACATAATCTTAGCCCAAGTATTCGTATATGGTGGAAAAAGTCAAAATTTACCATTTTCCTCATAGTTATATTCCAGTTTTATGTTTAGTAAACAGTGCTACTATATTATAGAATATTTCCCTGTTCTAGAATCTTAAGTTACTAAAAATTACTTAATTAGTTACCACACACCACCCCCCAAAAAGGGAAGAAACCAAATGGTAACAATCGGGATACCTATCTGAACATACCTACCAACTTTTCTCCTTTCAGTACTTTGTCATATAGAGCCTCTTCCTATCAAATCCTGCACCCCAACAAACCCACAACAATGAAAGTAGTCTTCAACATATTGGTTTAAACAGAATCCTATTTTATCTTTTTCAAAGATTCTAAATATAAGACAACCACCAGACACAGATATCAATAGAGAGAGAGAGAGAGAGAGAGATCAATGTGAGAGAGATACATTGATTGTTGCCTCCCGCATTTGCCCCGACTGGAGCTGGGGACTGAATCTGCAACCCAGGTACGTGGCCTTGACCTGGAATCAAACCTTCAGTGTGAAGGCTGACTGACGCCTAACCACTTAGCCACACTGGCCAGGGAAGTGCTGGTTTTTAAAGGAAAGCATTTAAATCAGACAATGATGGAACTTCTGGATACTTGGAAGAATTTAAAACCTAGATTTTTATGTCTAATAATACATTTTAAAAAGAGGGATTACAACTTTGTCAATTATAGATTGCAATTAGGATATTATAGATGCAATGAAAGAAATATACTTTAATGAGGTAACACCAAGAACTAAAAGAAAAAAAAATGGAGAATCAAAAGATATTACAAAGCTTGTGTGAATTTTCAAGAAGTAAATTGCTTAAAAATAGAATGTGGTGAGTTTGGAATGTTTCAACATGGTGGAAAAGATGCTCATTATATGTATAGTCCACTGTGTGATAAGAAAAGTCAAGATAATAGAAACCAGAGACTATTATACTTGTCCCCAGAAAAACATCAGTCAAGGGCCACTAAATTATCCTTCAGATTAGTTTAAGATACATGCTTCTGAGTCAGTGAGAAAAGAGGGAGGTAATATATAATAATATGAACTTTATATACTATTTAACACTTACCTTCTCTATCAACAGTTGCTATTTTAGGTTTAATCTCTTTTTGTGACACTTGTTGAATATTTTCCCTTTGCTGTTTAGTTTGTTGCATAGTATGCGTTTTCCAGAGTTTCCGGAGCTCTTCTACCTCTGTCTCTGAGTCCTGATTTTGCTCCTTTCCTTGTTTTCCTTTGACAGTTTGCTTTTGTTTGAACTCTGCTGCTTCCCCACAGGGCACACTTTCTTTTTCATCCTCTTCTTGGTGTACTGAATTCTCATTAAGAAAATTCTGGTCTGCATTACCTTTTATATTTATGCTTTCTTCTTTAGGACCTGATATTTCTTGAATATTATCTGTAGCCTGATCTCCTTCCTTAGTGGTCATTTCAAGATTATTTAAATCAGTTTTAAGAGAAGGAGCCCCAACTTCATTTGTGGAATGGCCAGAATCAGATTTTAACTGATCAGGAGTAGTAGTCGACTCTGATATGCTTGTCAAACATTCTGTTCCACTCTGATTGACAGTCTGCACAGACTCTGATGACGCACCAGATGATTTACCTTGTCGCAGCTCATCTGAAGAGACAAGCTCCTCCCGTACAGGAGAGAGTTCTGATTCTGTGAACACATCTTCAGAAAGAGACTCCTCGGTGCTCCTAGGAGCAGTGCTGGCACTATCATTACCCGCATCACGAATTCTTGAGTCTATTTCATCAGTATTACTTCTTGTCATTTTCTTTAAATGGCAGAAGTCCCTTCCTGATAACTGATCTAGCTCTCTGTCAGTAAACAAAATTATAAGTTATTAGATTTTTTATATTGTAGCCTTTTATTTTCCAAACTTACCACTAAATTCATATTCAAACAAGGCTTATCTAAAACGATGTAGCATAAATCCCTTAACAGCATATTAAAAATTTTTATTTATTTGTATAGACCAAGTAATAGTCAAGCATTTCCATTAATTGCTTAAGATACAGGAAATACCAATGTAATATTTCCTGAATTAATCCACCCAAAGAAAGGATGATGATAAAAGTTTTAAGTGAAGCTATAATTCTAAATTAAGATTTATTCATTGATAGAATATAAAAAATAAGTTTTGATAACATTTTAATTAAAATTTAAAAGTCTTAATAAAGTAATACAGTGATTGATATTACACACATGTGCACACAGTGATTATTTATATTTAAATAGAGATTAAAATAAAATATAGAGCTCAAAAGCAACGCTGAAAACCAACCTGAGTAGAACTGAGGCAAAATTACTTACAAGAGTTTTTCTGGCTACCAGCAACAACTCTTAATAACAACTCTAAGAGAACTTGTTCAACTAAAGGAATTAGTCATTAGATAGCTGAATGATTTATAATTACATCTAGATTTCTACAGTGAATGGCATTGTATATATAAGCAGTAATGTTTAAAAGTTAGAGAGTCTAAGTTCTGGAAGGAGGTAGTACAAACATTTATGGAAGGAAATACAAGTCAGCAATTTAAAATGACAGTTAAAAATAGTTTGTGACAAATGGAAACTGTACGCGTTTTTAGTGGAAAAACTATTAACATTTATGCAAGTCTGAAAATAAAGACTGAAAAGTAATTAAACACAAAAATAATTGGCTGTCTCTGTATGGTGGAATTAACTCCTTCCCTCTTATTCTACCTTTTGGTATTTTTCAAATTTTTTGTAATGAGTATGCATAATTTTTATAATTAAAATAGGAAAATTTTATTTTTATAAAAAGTATTAGTTGAAGTCTATTTCATATTTCTGCCTCTCTTGTATCTAATTCACCTTAAAAAACACAAGCATCTAACTTGAGCTATAAAATATGTAACAGTGTCATCTATTGGTGATTCACTCAAACTGCATAAAGTGTAGGGCAAAAGTAGGTTTCTAGTTTTAGTACATGAAAGTTTATTTTTGTATTATTATTTATTAATTATTGTATTTTTTCCATATAAATAACTATAAACCTACTTTTACCCCACGCTGTATAAATGGGGTCTTGAAACTTGGCAAAGTTTTGAGAAAATGTAGATATACATTTAATAAGACCATTAGATAAGAGCTAATTAACCTTACAGGATATATATTTATAGAAGTACTGTAACCTTCTGAGTTAATATACCAAAAGACTGAATAGTTATTAATGTCAATGATGCTTCTAGTGCTCAATATAGTTCTGGAACAATACCCTTAATATTAACATCCCAAGCAGTTTAAGACAAACAAAAATTAATCAAATCTTATACCTCATTTTTGCCACACCTGACAATACTCTAAAAAAGCACTTCATTTATATGATTTGTCATAAATACTGTTTATAATCCACTCGCAAGGGAAAATTCAATGATATTTCTTTTTGGAGAAAAAATTTTTAAATGTTTATATCAAATAAATGGTCTTCCCAGGTGACATTCTGAAGGATGAAACAGTGATCTGCAAGAAGAAGAGCCCTACAGACAAGCATCCTTGTAGAACAGTTATGGACCGTTCGGCATAAGAGAATGCCCAATTATCATAATACAAATGGAAAAGCAGGACAGCAGAAAATTAATCTTCCAATGACTGACAATATATACACACATATACAATCTTCTTGTTTCTCATTTAATCTAATCCTTCACTTTTGTCTCATCCCTTCATCCACTCCTATAATCCTTATTTGCTGGAACTGACTTTGAATGATCTATAAAAATAACTGACACTAGAGAATATCCTAGGAATTATGTGCACCTGTAAAGATGAGTTTATCAAGCCAAAATAATATCTACTGAGTGCAGGGTATAATGAAGATTTTTTTAAATAAGAAATTTTATTCTCCACATGTATCCTAACAACTCATGTAGTCTGTCTCAGAAACAAAAATAATTTGCTCTTCTTCTTTGTAAGCAGTTCTATCCCACAAAGTTAATATTAAAACATCATTCTTCATTCCTGTAGGCTAATACTGGGATATATATTTCAGTATCAGTTAAAGTGAGGCTAGTTTTTAAACCGTTGAGAGAGTCATATATGGAGGAATGGGGTAGTTCTTTACTATTACATATCAATTTTCTTCCTTTCTTTGTATATACCTACCTTTTACCTTCTCCTTTTATTTCTTATTCCTCCCTTTTCTCTCTGGTCATTCCTTCGGTCAAGCAGATTATGCACAAAGGCTGTGCTGACCTGTAGTCTCACAACTATGTATGCTACCAGAATCACAATCAGATAACCACACATCCCTTGACCAGTATATTCCAAGGTTAACCCTTTATAACTGTGCAATTGTGGATCTTCTCCACTATATTTTACACTTTTCTAAGAAAGATGATGCATACATATATAAATCAATCAATTTAAAACAAGCTCCTCTGGTTATAGCTATGTCAGGCCTTTGCTCCTGTAGCCTCCCCAAATCACACCCCTGATTCTTCAGGCTCTTCTAAGAAAAATTTGAAAGCTACCCTTGATTACTTATATTACTTTAAATTACTCATATAAATAATTTAGAATTCTGAATGCTATGTCTGAATAAAAAAATCTGGTATACATTGTATTAAATGAATATGTTAGGTTACTTTAAAATGTCTGGTTCTCTGACCAAATATACAAATATAAACCTAAAACAACTCCTAACTATTCTAAGTGCACTGAGAAGAATCTTTTCAACACTACATATATTTCTGTTTCATTATTAATACAATGAAAAGCAGCTATAATGAAACTAATAAAAATACTTAAAAGTATTAGACTACGGTCAATTATCTACATGCAATAAAATTGCAAAGGAGTATAAAAAACACTCTTACATGGGTAAGGATTCCTTTATTTTGCTATCCAAAATTTCTTTGTACATTGCAGCTGACATCACCTCTTCCATTGGACACATGATACCATATTCCTCACAGCCATTCTCTTGAACCAAGGGGTCAGTTTTATGTGGATCAAACATTATATTATTGGGTGTAACTAGCAGCACACCACTGACTGTGCCCTAAGATAAAAAGAAAATAATGTTTAATCTTCAAAGTTTAAATTTTCAAAAAGTATTTTGGCTATTTTTACTAATTTTCTTCTCATATTAGGCCAAATACTATATAGAAAAGCAGTACATTCAGGCACTAAAGCATTCTCATGGAAAGTTAATAAAACACAGATTTTCCCAGTTAAGTCCTCATATTTAGCAGAGGCAAAATACAAAGAATGTTATATTCGCCCTCAAACAATGAGTAAGGTATAAAATTTGCAGCCTTACCAAAATGCTGTTATACCAGCAAGATAACATCAGTAATGTAAGAAGCGATTATCAACTCCTATAAGGCATAAGCCATGTTTTACATTAATTTGTGTACTGCTTCCTGTGTTGTTCCCTTACTAGAGGTACCAAATATAGTTTTACATACACAATGCAGGTTTAATAAATAATGTTGACAATTCAGTCCGTTATAAAAGGAAAACAGTATAATCTCTTCTAAAATATCTTTTAAAAAAATCTGTTCCATTTGACTCTGCTACTACCTAGGCATGTGACCTTGGGCAAACAAAGCCCCCAGGCCTCAGTTTTTTAATCTATAAAATGAGGTAATTTAGATGACCTCCAAAGTATCCCATAATCATTTTTAATTTAATCATAAAAACTATGAAATTTTAAATATATTCATACAAATAGTGCTGCTAATATGAATAGTCCAACTCTCTTGTTTTACAAGGAGCAAACTAAAATCTGTAAGAAGCCGATCCCACTATTATTAGCTAATTTACTGAATGTTTTGTCTGTATTATGCTTTATATACATTACAGTTCATTTGATCATCACATTAAGCTCTGAGATGAGAATACATATGGGGAAATCAAGGTTGAGAGAGACTGGGCAGTTTATCCTAAATGAATAAATAATATAACAAGCTAATAAGTGCTAGAACCAAGATTCAAAGTCCATGCAGTCTGTGCTTATACTATAATCTTTCCACATTTGAGTGACAAACTATATAATCACTCCAACTAAAGTGCCAAATATACCTTAATCTCATTTTTTTCCTTTACTGATTTTAGAAAGAGAGAGGAAGCGAGAGGGAAAGAAAAATAGAAACATTGATGGGAGAGAAGATCGACTGGCCACCTCCTGCATGTCCCCCACTGGGGATCGGGCCCATCACCTGGGCAAGTGTCCCAACCAGGAATTGAACCAGTGACCTCTTGGTGCATGGGTCCATGCTCAACCACTGAGCCACAAGGGCCGGACTTAATCTCATTTGTTAACCTCCTATTTTACTATATTATGTAAGTGTAAAAATAAAGAGCCAGACAGAATTCTAAAAATAAGCCAATAGTTACTTCAAAGTTGTTTTGTGTTTTTTTCTAAAGCTATTATGGAAAAGAAAAACTTAAATCCTGTTTGATTGGTATCACACCCTCCTTCCAATTCCATACTCAGCTCTGTCAATGTTCCTGGTTTAATCTGAAGAACATAAAGCTACCTTTAAAAATAATCAAGTAAAAAAAGAAAATCCTACTAAAAATGATCACCTAATTACAAGTGGAAAAAAGTTATTATATTCAAGCTAATAAAACATGTTTATTATTTACTGTAACTGCATGAAATATTGGAGAGAGAAATACATGTGTGCATGCATTTTGGTGGGCGAAAGGGAATCAATATGAAAGTATGAATAACATTTCTTTTAGTTCAGACATATCATGGGCCACCTAAATAAGTAACTTTCAATAAACCACAGTCTAGTCACCTTTTCATTAATAGTTTAAATAGATTCAAATACATCAGTTTATATTCCTGGATCATACGCCAACTCAAGCCAATCACAGATGGTAAAGTATGCTGCAGGAACATTTACATTGTTAGGGATAGTGCAAGAAATAGATAATTAAGAGTCGAGTATATACAATGCAAAAATACCTTAATACATAATTCCATATATTCAAGAATATAGAAGATTGTGCAAGCTAAGTAAGGACCATGAAGATGTGAGACACAGTTTGAACTTACAAGAGATGAAAAATACACTAGATAGTACAGCAGATTACACATGGGGGAAAAAAATTAGTGAACATAAAGATATAGCAACTGAAATTGTCGAAAACAAAAAAGAACTGAGTACCAGTAAGCTATTAGTCATAACATCAAGCAGCCCAAAGATGCATAATTAGAGTTCCCAAAGAAATAATGGGAGAGAAAAAATATTTCAGGAAATAGTGCCAAAAAAGTTTACAAATTTGATGGAAATTATAAACCCACAGATCCAAGAAGCTAAATGAACATAAAAAAAGAAAAGAAAAAGAAAGAAAAACACACCAAGGCACCTCATAATCAAATTGCTCAAAAAGAGTAATAAACAGACTATTTTAAATGCAACCAAAAGAAAAAATTACATTTTATACAGAACACCAAATATGAAACTAACGGAAGACTTCTCTTCAGAAACAATGCAAGCTAGAAAAAAGTGGAGTTCTGAAAGAAACATCTTCAAAATTCTGAGAAAAAATAAAACCCTGTGAACTGAAATTCTATGCCCAATGAAAATATCTTTCAAATACAAAGTAACTGGCAAAGATATAGGATAGCAAATAAGCTTAAAATCTATGCTCAAAATCATAAGTCATAAGGGAAATACAAATTAAAACAATGAGTTACCACTAAAGACCAATTAGCATGGCTAAAATCTGAAACACTGACAACTATGAATGCTAGTGAAGATGTGGAGCAACAGCACTAGGATTGCTGGTAAAAACACAAAATGATACAACCACTTTGGAAGACATTTTGGGAGTTTCTTACAAAGCTGTATGGAATCTTCTTATATGATCTAAAGTTAGCAATAATATTCCTTAGTATTTACCCAAATGAGGTTAAAAACTTATGTCTACACAAAAAACCTGCACGTGAATGTTTACAGATGTTTCCATAAAGTGCCCCAAATTTGAAAGTAAACAAGATGTCCTTCAGTTGCTGAGTGCATAATATCCACACAGTGAATTTTTATTCAGCAATTAAAAAAAGAAGAGCTGTCAACTCATAAGACATTGCTAAGTAAAAGAAGACTATTTGAAATCATACAATCATACTGTATGATTCTAACTACATGACACTATGAAAAGAACAGAACTATAAAGACAATAAAAAAGATTAGTAGTTTCCAGGGGTTGAACAGGAGGAATGAACTGGCAGAGCACAGAAAATTTTTAGGGCAATGAAACTATTCTCTATGATAATGTAATGATGGATAGATGTCATTATACATTTGTCACAGAATGTACAATACAAAGAGTGAACTCTAATGTAAGGTATGGAAACCCAACTTATATATAAAGACATAGGCCAAAAGTAAAACAAAAGGAAAGATAAACCGTGTTAATAAAAAGGAATGTGAAGTGACTGTGAGTATCCATCAAAGTAGATTTCATTGCAAAATTACCAAAAATAATAAAACAAGTCAATTCATCAAGACAATATAAGAATCTTAACCATTTTTATACCTAATAGTGAAGTTTCAAAACACAAAACAAAAACAGACACGAAAGCAGAAACAGACAAGTACACAATTATAGTGAGGTACTAAAACATCCTCCTGTCAAAAATTGATAAAACAAGTAGACACTATCACTCAACTTGAATCAACTGACATTTATAGAACAGTCCTCCCAAATAGCAGAATGAACATTGTTTTTAAGTGGGCATGTAATATTTATCAAGATATACCATATTCTGGTCCATAAACTAAGTCTTAAATCAAGTCTTCAAAAAGTAATATGTTCTCTAACCACATAGAATAACATTACAACTCAGTAACAAAAGATATTTTTATTTACTTATTTACTTTTATAAATTTTTTTCCTGTTATTGATTTTAGAGACAGAGGAAGTGAGAGGGAGAGAGAGAGAGAGAATGAGAGAGAACATCGATTGGCCTCCTCCTACATGCCCCCCACTAGGGATTGAGCCCACAAACTGGGCATGTGTCCTGATCAGGAGTCAAACTGGCAACCTCTTAGTGCATGGGTCGATGCTCAACCACTGAGCCACACCAGCCGGAAAACAAAATATATTTCTAAAAATCCCATATTTAGAAACTAAAACACTCTAAATACGCTATGGGCCAAAGAAGAAATAGAAAACATTATGAACTGAATGAAAATAAAAATACAACATATCGAGATTTTGGATGCAGCTGAAAAAGTATGTAGGGAGAAATTTACAGAATTGAACACTTGTATTTGAAATACTTATAATTTATTAATTATGACCATAAGGCAGTCATACTTTTTTAAGTTAGTATTACAGTTATTGCTAAGCAATACCTGGAATTTATTTTCCAACTCTGTCATTTTACTATATTCCCTCTGCACACTCAATATTCTTTACTTAGTAAAGCAGCAAGGTGTGGTATATAACACAGAGATTCAAACTCAGTTTGAATTCTGGCCATGATAGAGAAACCTTGGATTTACTAGTATTTTCTGATATTTTTTTCCTGTGAAGAAAGAATATGACCACCTATTGCACAGGATAATTTTGAGTTGATAAAATAATTAAAACACCAAAATCGTTTCTGACATATAGCAGGTACTCAATAAATAGTAGTTATCTTCCTAACTGTGTGTCATGCTAACTCTGCAAGGGTTAACACTTCAAAAAGTACCCAGTAGTAGTTATTTTATATAAGCTTTTTGAAATATTCTACCAACAACAAATTAACTGCACCTTATTGTAGTAAATTTATTCATTATATCCCATTGCCTTTAATAATTTGCAATATACCACAAGACTGTTAGTTAGGAACAAAGTCCACACTAACCCAAACTAGAAGTTCCATTAATACCTTTTAAAAATAGTCAAACATTTGCTGATGTTGGTGACTTAAAATGTAAATGCCAAACTGTCATATTTTAGTAATATATAAAGCATAATTAAACATTTTTTTCTAAGGTGCTATTCATTACCTTGCCTCTGGTAACATATTTGCAATTAATTTTTAGAAACTTCTCAGTAAATGCTTCTTCCTCCTCGGAAGTTGAAGATACAACTCGTGCAGGTCGAATACCAGTAAAAGTAGATGAGGGAGTTGTTTCTTTCGGGTGCACATCAGGATTCTTTAAAAAAATAATAATAATAACAGCACTTCAGAGAACTAAATCAAAATAAGCACAGTATTAAAGCCAAATGAACAGCTTTCCTCAATAAGTGTACTTCCTTCTCATCACATTCTGGAGGTCAGCCCAAAATATTCTTATGTAAAAAATATAGATAAGAATGGCACTGTTTTCACATTCATTAAAGCTAACTCAGCTTATATTTTCAATGGTTTTTTAATTGTGTGTGTGTGTGTGTGTCTATCAATGATATATATATATATATATATATATATATCATTTGCCGAATGTTGAAAACTACATTTCTTGCATTCCCTACCCCACACATATAAATACCTCACACACACACACACACACACACACACACACACACACAGTTGCTCCTGAATTAAACTACTGGTCATGATAAGACCATTTACTATATCCCTGAGGTGTTGGGAGCAAAGGAAAAGCAAAGTGCTTGTTTGTGATACCTAGGAATTTAGCAGAACCCATCATAGAAAGAGCCTTTTAAAATCTCAAAAAAATTATTAATACCATTCTACAAAGTATTAATTAGTGCACAGGTTCTTATTTTTTTGGGTGCCACATGAACAGTTCTCTCAGTGAAGCCTATAACTTTCTTCACAAAATGTTTTGAATACTTAAAACAGAGGTTTACCAAAAAAAAGCAATTATACTGAAATACAAACATTTTTCAATTGGAGACATAGTAATATATATGCTTCTTTAGTAATACATTAAATAACAAGATCGAATGGTGACTATAATCATAATTTTTCAAGTAGATGGCTATAAACAACATTTTATGATATCAATAATAATTCTAAAGTGACTTGAAAATATTTGTGAGTTCTATTGGGGACAAAGTCAAAGGTATGCCCAGTGCTATTTTATAGTTTGCTGTTTATAATGTTAATCCTCCCAAAGTTCAATGTTCTGTACAATGTAGGAAGGTTAGACAGGTGTCTTTTGATCTTTGTTTCAATACTTGCACAGAGGTAGTAGTAAGCGTCTTCAGAGCTCTGAGCTAAAAACTACCACTTTGTTACTAATACCTTATAGTTTTGATCTGGTCTTTTGGAATAATAAGCAAGATTGACTTCACTTCGATCTCACAGTCTTTGAGATACTGAAAAGAACTATCAATTTTAACATAACTCTTTCTACTCTAATAAATGGATCTAATTCCTTAAACCTATATGAGGACAGAATTTTTATACTTCCTTTCTAAACATCATAAACCCCTCCTAAAATGTAGAGCTGAAACCCTAGCACTTGGGCAAATATTCAACACATATTTTTTGAAGGAAGAACAGACCAGTGCAGAATACTGTAAAATAACTATATTTAATATACTATATATTTTTAAAACCTAATATAGAATTTTTTAACACCTGAAAGACACTGTTGTTTAATCATTAATCTCTATTAACAAAATTCTCAATCTTTTCATTTTATGATATAAATTAATAACTTCACACTCATCCTGTTAATTTAAGTTAGATAATTAAGAGAAATTCGTAATAGTATTAATGGATATTTATGAATACTTGTTATATATAAGTACTTTATATGAACCATTTCATTTAATTCTCAAATCACTAGTATATATTAAATATATAATATTACCTTAATTTTTTTTCCATTGATTTTTAAATTTTTTTTTATTTTTTTAGAGAGAGTAGAAGGGAGGGAGGTAAACAAAGAAAGAAACAATGATGTTGAAAGACATATCAATTGGTTGCCTCCCGCACAGGCCTGGTCAGGGCTGGGGAAACCTGCAACCCAGGCATGTGCCCTTGACTGGAATTGAACCTACAACCCTTTGGTCCACAGGCGGATGTTCTAACCGCTGAGCCAAACCAACCAGGGTTACCTTAATTTTTAATTAAACTTACGCTTAACCAATTTCTGTAACTTGCCTATTAAAAGCTGAGAAGCAAACCCATGTTGCCAACATGTGTACTAGTGAGGTTGACTACAATCCCATACACCTTCCCTTCCAAATAGTCTTCTAAATGAAAGATAAATGTGCAAAGAGGAAAAATAACCCAATGCAGAGCCATCGAAAAGACCCCTTTCAAGTTGTCACAAAGCTATCAACAAATTTTGTTCAACGCTGTCCAGTTACGCCCAAATCCAGTTGACATTATCTACTAGTTAACCGTATTATTCACCCAAACTGTATCAAAGTGCATTGTTAAATGCTTTCCTTAAAGGAATATACCTAGTTAAACAATATAATCTCTGAGGTTCCCGCAAAGTATCGAATTCTATAACTCAGTATCTATAGTAATTTCAATTTGTAAAGGTAATCCTATCAAAAGAATAGACGAGATTAGCTTAGCAAATGTTCAAAGTATAGCACAAGAGAGTACATTTCTTTTTAAAAAAGATCAACCCTGTTCAGAGGAATCCTAATCAGACCTCATTAAAACGTATAAACATGTACATTACCCAAAGTATCAGTATTTCTAGGTCACTGTTTTTGACTGTTGTTTATATATTTTTAAATTAAATTTATTGGGGTAACACTGGTTTATAAGATCATATAGGTTTCAAGCATACACTTCTATGGCACAGGATCTGTATATTACATTGCGTGTCCACCACCCAGTTACATCATCTTCTGTCACCATATATTTAGTCTCCTTTACCTTTTACTAACACCCACCTGACTGATTCTTAATGCACTGACAGTGAAGCTCATTTGAATGCTTTCTGAAGTTTCTTTGTGCAATTCTGTTTTAGCCAATAGGGATGAAAAGGTCCTTAAAATATAGAAGTATAAACATCTATCTATTGCCCTGGCTGGTTTGGCTTAGCGGTTAAAAGTGTCGGCCTGTGGTCCAGAGAGACCTGGGTTCAGTTCCTGCTAGAGGCGCGTACCTCGGTTGCAGTTTGCCCCTGGCCCTGGTTGGTTGTGCCGGTGGCAGCCACTCGATGTGTCCCTTTCACGTAGATATTTCTCTCTCTCTCCCTTCCTTTCTCGCCCTCCCCACTCTGTCTGAACAAAAAATAGAAGAATGTCCTCGGGTGAGGATAAAACAAAACATCTATCTATCAAGCTTCAATTATTACTCCAAATGTTCAAAACAAAGCATTACTACGATAAGTGACCCAAAAAGGTTGACTTGTGGTCACATTTTCTTGCACAATATAATTAAATATTATACAATATGATCTGTATAATAAATCATGATCATAAACTAATACAAACTCTCCATTTTCCATCTTGCCTTGGCTTTACTGAGCTTTTGCTCCTTTGTGATTGAAAATATGTAGAAACGTTCTGTGATAATACACAGGGAAGGTACAGGAAGTGTGAGGAGGAAAAATCATACAGGCACATAAATACCAACACATTTATTTTATACAACATATATATATTATATATTTTAAGAGAAAATGTTCCCTTTTAAAGCAGTATGTATGATGCTTCGTCATTCAATCTGATAAATATGATGGATACAATTTACCTCCTATAAATTACTATATTTAACCATTGCTCTCAAAATTTATTTTAATTCTGCTTCTTAAAACAAAGAATTCGAGGCTCTTAAAACCAACACACAGGATAAAAAAAGATACAAATAAAAAATAAAAATATCAGGGTGAATAAAAAAATAAAATGCAATTGTAAATATTGTACTTGGGGCTTTGGATCTGGGTCTGAGCTTTTTCTTTTTAATAATTTTTTAGATAGAGAGGAAGGGAGAGGGAGAGACAGACAGAAACATCGATGAGAGACAAACATCGATTGGATGCCTCCTGCATACCCCATACTAGGGTTCAAGTCTGCAACCTGGGCATGTGCCTGGACCAGGAAACAAACGGGTGACCTCTCAGTGCATGGGATGACACTCAATCCACTGAGCTACACTGGCCGGGCATGGGTCTGAGCTTTTCAACAACCAGGTTAAAAAGTACAGTGGGATGTGCTTTTTGGCTCAGTGGTTAGAGCGTCAGCCCATGGACCAGAAAGGCCTGGGTTCGGTTTCCGCTAATTGGTTGCAGTGTGTCCCAGGCTCTGATTAGTGTCAGGTGGGTGGTAGGCACTCAATGTGTCTCTCTCACATCCATGTTCCTCTCTCTTTCTTCCTCCCTCTCTTCCTCCCACTCTATCTGAAGATAAATGCAAAAATGTCCTCTGGTGAGGATAAAAAAAAAACAAAGTGGGATCAATTTTTAAATTCTAATTATGGTAATAATACTCCCATATAGAATCTAGGAAGAAAACTCTCATCCAGTAATTTAACCATTTCTTATTTGTGATGTTACAAATATAGGGATTTCTTCTATATATGAATTGCTTTCCTAAAATCTACATAAATACAAAGTCCTATTATAAAGTTCTATTTTTTTCACAAAGTAAATATTTTGTTCTATAAATATATACCAAGGTACGTATGATTATAGCATTACCATTTTATTTCTTTATTTTTTTTAAGTATTATCTTTTTATTTATTATTTTTTTCCTATATTGATTTTAGAGAGAGAGGAAGGAAGAGGAAGAGAGAGAGAGACACATCGATGTGAGAGAGACATATCGAGTGGTTGCCACCCACATGATCCCAGCCAGGGACAAACTGCAACTGAGGTACGTGCCCTTAGCGGGAACCGAACCCAGGACTCTCTGGTCCGCAGGCTAATGCTCTAACTGCTGAGCCAAAACGGCCAGGGCTAGCATTATCATTTTAAAAGTATATGTTAAATTTTTTAATTCTCTAATAAATTGCTGATATTTAAATTAAGTTTAAAAGCACCAAAGCTAAATTATATATTATAGATGTTATGTTATAATTTATGTATTAGTTATACGTGGTATTTGCAGTTTCTCAACTTTATTATAATATAATATGTAAAACATAAGCCTATGTTTATTAAAGTATATATTATTTATATATTAAAGTTTAGGTTTAAAAGCATGAAAGTTAAAAATATAATTTACCTATTTATAATATACAATAGGCAAAATATTTTGTCTATTACTATATTTTAATAATTTTAAACTTATTTTACAATTAACTATGTAATACATATATATACACAGAGAGAGAGAGGAATAAGAAGAGCAGGATGTAGAGAGAAAGAAGGCATATGTGAGAATAATTCTTAAAGCATATGCAATATTTAACCTTTTCAAACTATCTTGATAGTTCTAACTAAAAATTTATTTTAATTTCTTGCAAGTCTGCTATTATTTATAATTAATGTCTGTTTTCAGGAACACAACTTCAAGATGTCAATGAATTATGTAATTAATTTAAAAGAGAGGGGGTTTATTTTACTAGATTGCACAGATATTCTCAAGCTTCCCAAACCTCTCTAATAAATTAACCTCACTCTTCTATGTATCGTCTCATTTATAAGTGAAGAAAATATTCCCTGAATGTCTTTAAAAAAATAACCTTATTTAAGTAGTTAGAAAATGTTCTAATATTCCCTTCTTCTTAGAAATAAGATTAAATTATATAATATAAACTGTTCTATAAAATAAATTCTGTAATACTCTTTTAATTTCAAACAGACTGTGTCACCCAAGAAGATATACTGAAGTCCTAATCCCCAGAATGAGACCTTATTTGAAAATAGGGTTTTTACAGATAAAATTAGTTAAACTGAGGTCATATGGGAGGAGTAGGGTGGGCCTTTAATCCAATATTACTAGTTTTCTTATATGAAAAGGAGAGTGGTATGTGATAACATAGACCCACAGGGAGAAGACAGACATATGACTACGAAGGCAGAAACTGGAGTAATCTATAACAAGCCAAGGAATGCCAAGGACTACTGGCAAATACTGACTCCAGAAGAGTTAGAGAAGGATTTCCCCCCCCACAATGAGCAAGGCACTGTCAACAGCTTGATTCCAGACTTCTGGCCTCAGGAACTGTGAGATAAATTTCTGGTTTAAACACATCCATTTTGTGACCCTTTGTTATGGTAGCCCTAGGAAACTAATACAGGCAATTTATAATTTGTTAAGTTACATAAACAGAAGAACAACATATTAAAAAGCCCAGAGAATCTTAAATATTAAAAGTAGATAAGGAAAAAAAAAAGTAGTAATTTTGTTCACCTTTTAATCAATTTAAATAATACTTCTGAATTATATGCTATACTTTTATTTTTTGCTTTGGTTAAGCAAAAGTTTCCTATATTACTTTCAGACAGCTCTTTATTATAAACTTTCTAGTTTCCATATTTATAAGTGCGTAGTAAGCACTTTTAAGTATAAAGTAACTAGTATTATCACAGTCTATGATTAAAAAGAAACTTTTAGTACCTAAACTCTGTTGCTACTTTATATATTTTCTTCCCATAAGACTTTCAAGGCTTTCCATAGGGAAATTCTTAATAGTATAGTTTTCAAAATTATATTATTACCGTGTATCCAGTCCAATGTTATAAGTACTCTAATTTTCTTATAATATTTTAGATTAGATAGAGTATACTAAAGTGTTCTATATTAAAGAGAGTAAAACTATCTGTATATCCCATCCTTCTGTGAAGTATATTAATATAAGTATAAATAAAAACTATTTAAATTATTTCATTTTCCTCTTTTCTTTAGACATTTTCCCTCTGAATTTCATCCTAAATATATCTATCACACAGAAATTTTTAGCCTAAAAAAAAAGTTCTATATTTATAAAAGGATGTTAGATTTAAAGAAGCTTACAAAAAGATGATAGTGCCAGTACAGACTCACTTATAATGATTAAATATTACTTATCTTTTGAGTCCAACTATTTATTGAGCAATAGTAGTTTCTGAGGTATTAATAGTAGTTTCTGAGGTATTAATTTTCAGCAATAAAGCGGTAATTACGAACATGGGCTCTGGACCTAGACGCCTTGGGTTGGAATCCTCACGCAGCTACTGGGTAATTGAGTGAACTTTGATACAAATTACTTAACCTCTCAGTTTTCTCTTCAGTAAAATAAATACTATACTGGTCATATACTGAAAGAAACAAATGGCACATCACATTGAGAAATTTTATGTTTAATAATGGAACTACTTACAAAGGTATGCAGTGTAAAATGAAAATCCAGGTGAAACACAACAGAGGCTTTATTATCATCTGTAGGCCTAAAGAAGTAAGGCGGAGAAACATATGCCTAAACCTCAACACAGAGAGGGCTCTGTAGAAAGGGTTGTCTGTCGACAAGAGATGAGATGTTGCAAATATAGTCACGATGGGGTGACCTTATAGATAGGGAGAATAAACATGCCCTGCCTCCTTTCCTCTGGTCTCCTGCCAGTGCTTTCAAAAGACCAAACCGACAGAAGTAAATCGTCAAGGGAGCCCAATAATATAGTCTACAGCCTAAAGGAACACAGAAAAGAGTGTAGAATGGGGTCTACAGGGGAAAACAAAGACAGCCAGGCCAAGTGCTTATATCATATATGTTCAAGGTTAGGAATAGATGATACTTTTAAAGTGCTTAGAATTGTACTTGACATACAGAAAATTTTACCTATTATTTATTTACTCTCACTTTGTTTCTATCTCCTATGTTTCTTCATCATATGTAAAGAAAAAAAAAAAGAGAAGAGAATGATTTGTGGAAATTCTCAAAGATATTATTTTTATGTGAAAATAAATTATTCAAAAAGCCACTGAGATCCTTTATGCTACCAGAACATAACATTTTAGCTTCGTAAGTTACAGCAAGACTGAACATTCAGAAAACCTATCAGTGATTATTAAAGATATAAACTCTAACAATTTCTGAGGAAAACCTGTAATAACAATACTAATAAACATAATTTTAATATAATACAAATATGAATTTTATCTAAAAAAACACTAGATCCTGCTTCTAAGGGACTTATACATAGAATAGGAGATATAAATCCAATAATTACACTACCAAGAGATAAGTATTTGGAATATGCAGAAAGTATGACTATATTTCTAGGTTTAAAAAAAACAAAAACTGAAGTTTATACTATTACTATTCAAAATAATTATTTCTAACTATTACCCACAATCAGATAGCAGGTGACGGCTATCATCAGGTAAAGGGAACTTTAAGAACTCTTACATTTCTTATCCTTTTCCCTGAACCAACTCAGGGAGAAAGAATTTATTCATGATTTGTTATAGTAGAGGATACTTTCTGAGCCACTTCTGATAGCGGGTTAAAAGGTCATTCATAAGGTTTTATTATTCTCTCCCTTTCTTACACTGACATGGCAAAAGTGAGGAAGAGAGCCTTTTCAGGGAGGAGGAGACCTGGCCTTGTTGCTCTCTTGAGCTTTAGCACTTCTTCTCTTTGATCTTATGCTTTCAATAAAGCCAGTTGGTAGGCAAATCTGTGGTAAAGCTGAGGGACAGAAAAGGGCCCCAGAGTTCACAGCCAGGCAAGATGCTACAGTCAAGGCTTTTCATAATTCTGCTTTAGGGTTTAAAACACAAGCTAAATTAGCCTAAGGCTACACTGCTCTTTGTCACTGCTGCTTATGAATACATCTCTTTTCTTTAAGTCCCATGGGAAATGGCATGGCCATGTTTAACGAGGTATTCTTCCATCATCATTCTCATCAATGTTGAAGATAAGTGTAATACATTATTTTTATGTGACTACATTCTAAAGTATAATGTTGTCATATTTATGCATATAAGAAACCCAACTAATAAACATTTGAAAGACACTTCTCCCTCCCTCCCTTTCTCCCTATCCCCGCTTCTCTCTCTCCCTCACTCACACACACACACACACACACACACACAACCTGGGCAACAAGTAAAGTAGTTATTAATAATATCATGTGCTTGACTTCACAAAAGAAGTACAAGTAATTTAAAACTAGAGCTTAGAAACTAGTAATACCTAATAATACATAGGCAAATTAAAATTAATAATTTGTGTTTTATTACTAGTATGCCATTTGGTATCCTAAACTTTCAGTGCAAATTGGGGCAGAGAAGACAATGATGTTTCCTAAAGACAGCAGAGCAACATAGAAGATTCTTTCACAGAAGTCCAGCCTAGTATTAAATGGAGGGAGAGCCTTTTACATAGAAACAAATCATTAGGTCATTATGAAAAGGGAAAATTCTGATTAGTATTAATTTACACAGGAAAGGCACAAAAATATAATTCCTCTCAGAGAGATTTTATTCAAAGTTATTAAGTAACATTTAGTTCCTTGAAATTCATTTGTAAAATAACTTATACACAACAGTCATTCTTTAAAAATGCTAAATTAATCGACAATTAATTACTTAGACTACTTGGAAGAATGACTAAGATAATGATAAATTATATTTTTAAAAGGCAGTGTGTCAAAAACTCAAGAGTTATGAGTACTATGTAAGTATTCAAAGAAACTGAAATAAAAATCAAATTGAACATAGACTTCCTATCATGATATTCTCATGTTTGTCAGGTAAAACATCTTCCTTAAATTATTACATGGTATTTATAAGAGTACATTTGTCAGGTAAAACGTCTTCCTTAGTTAAATTATTACATGGTATTTATTACATGACTATCCTTGGTCCAACACCACCAACAGTAAATTAATTTAAGCTATCTGGTTTAATAAGAATGTTTCATTTTAAAAACCAGGATTTACAAATTTAAGTATCCAAATTAAAAGGTAAAATTTTGTTCTAACAATAGTCAAAGTAGGATTAAAAACAAAACAAAACAAAACACCATGATGATATATACATGTACAGTGAAATTTATTCAAAGTTATTTTTGAAAAGTAGGGACTTACAGTGGTCTTATCAAATTCAGCCTCGGACGATGTTGGTGACAGGGGACTTATGGGGCTTAGAGATGGAGAGCTCTCCACACTGGAGACATATTCAGGATCAGGAACATATAAAACCTGTAAGAAAACATACAACTAGAGTATTAATAATCAGATGGTGTGTTATTAGCAAGTACCATTAATGACATTTAGTAATAAAGAGAAAAAACTAAAAATCTTCAGATTAAAGAATATTTCTTAATTCTAGGCCATAATAATTCTAAAAAAAAACCACATATCTAAATTCAATTAAGAAAAATTTGATAACACATACTATCGAGGATAGGGTGGGAAAATAATTGTTATATACTATGGGAGTTCCTCTTAAAAAACAATTTTGCAATAGCTAACAAAACTTAAAATGCACCATAACCTTTATTGAGGCAATTTTACTTCAAGGACTTTACTCTATAGAAATATCTGGATACAAAGAAGAAAAAAGATATGCACAAAAATGTTCCCTACAGCGATATTTACAAGAGGAAAAGAGTAGAAACTGTCTAAAGCTTACAATGCCTAGCTAAACTAATGTGTGTGTGTGTGTGTGTGTGTGTTAGTGCAACACTCCACACACATACAAGTCTGAGATTATGCTGTACTTATACAAAACTTTGTCCAAAGTCAAAGTTAAATTTTAAAAGAAAGGCTAAAATATTTGTGGAAGAGGACACAAAAATTAGTAACTGGGTGCTTTTGGAAAAAGAAACTAGTAGAATTCTGAGCAGGATAAATTAACATTTAAAAATTAGTTTTTTAAATCATGTATTGCTTTGGCTATTTTAAAAAGCTCTTTAAAACTAAATTTAAAAGCCAATTCACAACCATTTTCAATATGTATTAAGAAAAACTCATCTGGATATAAGTGACAAGTAATTTTCTCTCCTGGAGCCAATATAATTTGTTCAAAGTGTGCATAAAGTTATTCTTCCTAAATTTTCTGTATTATTAGCTATGCTGCAGTGGATTCCTTTCTGTCTTGCTACTTAATGCTTCTAAATACAAATGCATTAAAAAACATACCTGTCCAGTAACAACTGCTCGGGAGAATAACTTATTTAACTGAACAAGTTCATTTGGCGTTGTATCAAATTTCAGAGCTATACTATTCAATGAATCCCTTGATTCGACCTGTTTAAAAAAAAAAACATAAATGATTTTAATCTGTTAAAACAGAAAAACTGAACTATGAGATTTAGTGATCATTAATATGTTTATGGACCAATCTGAGTAACAAGTGTTATTTCCATCCTTGGAGATAGGATAACTTGAGAAATTCTATGGTTTTTAAGCAAATGATTTTAACCTATCATGATAGAGTATACGCTTATCATAGTATATCATAATTACATGAGCCTCTACTTGTAGCAATTTCAAAATACAAAATATAATTTGCAAAACACAAGTGATTTTTATTTTACAAAGACTTAAAAACAATATACTATTTCTTTATTTTCTAAAACATGTAACTTCTAGAAACATACTATTTTATTTTCACAAAGTATGTCCATTTTATTTATAGATTTATTTTCATTGATTTTTTTTTTTAGAGACAGAAGGAAGGGAGAGAGAGCTAGAAACATTGATGTATGAGATAAACATCAATGGGCTGCCTCTTACATGCCCCCTAATGGGGATCGAGCCTGCAACCTGGGCATCTGCCCTGACCAGGAATCAAATTGGGCCCTCTCGGTCCATAGGACAACGCTCAATGCACTGAGCCACATCGGAGTGGCAAGTATGTCCATTTTAAACTGAAATTGCTATTTCTAATTATCTTATTTATAGATTCTTCCATTTAAATGTATAAATTACAAAATATATTTGAATCAAAGTTGAGCAATCTCTTTCTGAATGATTAGTATAGCTTAAGGATCATATTTACAGAAATCTTACATCATGGGATTTTGCCAATTATTCTGAAAAAAGTCATTTTTATCAGTCAACATAGTCCTTTGAAATCCTCTACATATAAGGCATTATGAGAGCTCTGTAGAGAATAAATTTAAGTGCAATTAAGTAGTTTAAGTTCACAAGAGATTTACAATATAATTGGAAAATAAGACCAAAAAAAGGTTATATAAATGAAACAAAAAATGTAACAGAAGTTCTGAGTGTAAAAAGAGTACCATATTTGTTCTAAATTGTTCAGGAAAGATTCTACAGAAAATATTTAAGCAAGATCAACAAGAAGGGATAGGAATTTGAGCAGCAGAGAAAAGAGAAAGAACACTGAAAGTAAAGAGTCTAGAAATTATACGTTCAAAAACAGAAAAGTATAAAACATTTTTGTGGGATACTGTCTCTTCCTCATAAACCACCCAAAGTATACTCATGAATTCAGGATTTTAGGAACAGTAACTAGTCAAATCTCAATAAAGGATAAGATTAAACAAGCATTTAGAATTAAGTTCTCGAAGACTTTGAAAGTCAGGAATAATAGATATGCATGTGGGTGTAAAAAATAATAAATATACTATTAATGTTTTTTAAAACCAAATTTATGCCAAATTCATGGGTTAATAATCTAATTCCGCTTCCTTCCTCTGTGTAAAACTTATCTATGCAATGCGTTATCACCTACTTTATTGACATAGTATATGTAAAAGCTCTCTATAAACAAATTTTATTTTGCAGTAACATCTAAGTTACAATACTTTTATATTATCACACATTTTGTCCTCACAATGATTCCATTAAATGAGGTGATAAAAGTAACATCAATAATTATAAAACAAAGTTTCATGGCCTGAGTGGCATCTTAGATTAGTGGTAACACATCTGGGATTAATGAGACAAGAGAATGGATGCAGATAAACAAATGTAATGCTACTGCAGTAGATCAGGGTTAAGGTAATAAAAATGTAAAAAGGGATGAAGGTATAAGATTTCCAAATAAGACTAAACAAAAGACAATGCACAGATAGAGTGAAATTCTGATGATGGTGGTAGCAGTAGAGGGTCAGGGGAGCAAATGTTAATGAGCAACTGAGGCTCAATTCTAAAATTCCAACCTGGATGAATAACAAACTAAAGAGAAATGGAAATTAAAAGTCTGAGTTTTAGGCAAGGATGGAGAAAGAATTAGTAAGAGGTTTGCTATAATTTGTTAAATATAAAGTGATAGTTGGAAATGTAGGCATCTAGAAAGGCAGGAATCCAAACGTTTGGGTCTCACTCCTCGTAGTTTATATAATAAAGTTCTTAAGCTCCCAAGTGACAGAATGTAAACAGAAAAGTGAAAAGAAACAAGGGGCCACTCAAATTTAGAATCAAGAAGAGAAGAACAGCTAGCAAAGCCGATGGAGGATAATGTCAAAATGATAGCAAGAATAACAGGGCAATGAAGCATAATAATAAAATGTAATATAATCAGTTTCAAGAACAGAGAAAACAAGGAGAGGGTATAATCAAAGACATAATGGCTGACAATTTTCCATAATTTATGAATAACTTAATTCCTTAGACTGAAGAAACACAAAAAGAACAATAAATAAAAATTTGTCTGAACCTAGACTTACTATAGTGGCATTGAAGAACTGTAAAGATGAGGACACTTCAAAAACAATTAAAACACAGAGAAAGAAAGACTGTCTACAAGTGAACAAAAATAAAAAGGCAACAGAGGGACATAAGACAATGGACTAGTATATTCAAAGTGCTGACAGAAAATGTCAACCTAATAATCTAGAGACAGCTCAACTACCAGGAATGAGGCTGCAACAGAGTTTACAGACACTGCCTGATTATCCCTTCACAGATCCTTATGGAAAAAACTACTAAAGGACATTACAAAGAAGGAAAGAAAACCAGAAAGAACAATAAACAGGAAGCAACAACAACAAAAAAGCCACTGGGTTTGATCATTAGAAAATTATTAGTGACCTTGGAAAGGACTCCTTCAGTAGAAAGGTATAGAGATATAAAATTAGGTACAAAGAAAATGATATTGTATAGTATTTTCAAGGTCTACTTTTGATTCCTACTGAAAGTGATTTTACAATTAAAAACAGTATGGCCCTGGCCCGTATGGCATCCTCCCGTGCACCGAAGAAGGATTGCAGGTTTGATTCCTGGTCAAAGCACATGCCTGGGTTATGGGCTAAGTCCCCACTGGGGGACACGCAGGAGGCAGCTGATCGATGTTTTGCTCTCAAATGGATGTTTCTCTCTTCTCTTTTTTTTTTTTATTCTCACCCAATGACATTTTTCCATTTTTTGTTCAGGTAGAGTGGGAGGGAGAGAGAGGAAGAGAGAGAGAGAGAAACATCGATGTGAAAGGGACACATCGAGTGGCTGCCACCCGCACGAAATACCAGGGCCAGGGACAAACTGCAACCGAGGTACGCGCCCTTAGCGGGAACCAAACCCGGGTCTCTCTGGACCGCAGGCCGTCTCTCTTCTCTTTCTCTCCCTCTCTCCTCCTCTCTCTCTAAAATCAATAAAAAAGAAACAGTATGTGTTTGTGCATATATGTATACATATATACACACACACATATATATACATATATATAATTTTAACTTTAAAGCTATCTAAAGTAAAAGATGAGTCTATACTACAATTTTGTGGTCTGGAAATACATTTAAACTATATTATAAATATTTTAGAATACACACACTTTGAGAGTACACTGTGGTATTAAAAGTTTTATCTTAAAAGAAATATAGGAATATATATTTTTCTAAACACAAAATCATGTTATATTAATATTTTATATAAATGTGTTTTATGAGTATGTTTTAAATATAATATGAATAGAATACAAAATAGTAATATCTTAGTTTTAGAATTACATTTGTTTCCTTCTTTTAGGATTTGACATAGGAAATAAAAGATTAAGAAGTTAAAAAAAAAAAAGACTAACCAAAGACCTGCTAGAGCAGGGGTTCTCAACCTGTGGGTCGCCTAAGACATAACAGTAGCAGAATTACAGTTATGAAGTAGCAACGAAAATAATTTTATGGTTGGGGGTCACCACAACATGAGGAACTGTATTAAAGGGTCATGGCATTAGGAAGGTTGAGAACCACTGTGCCAGAGGATGTTTTATAACTTTTCTGGTCAATTCTTGATTATATCCCAAAGGTCACTTATAACATTAAGAAAAAAATAATTTCAAATTTTAATTAACCTTCCCCAAAAGAGCCAAAATAATGGCTCTTAATTTCAATTTAACTTTGCTACAGAAAACACAAGTTTTATTGAATTAACCAAACAAAGAATGGTGAACTCTTGAATTCAAAACCAACGGAAATTTTACAATTCTACACAATCACATGGTTACATGTGTAGATAAACTCTTATGCTTCATGCCTATAATCTTAGGCCTTAATAAATACTAATGACTACATCAAATTACATTACCTAATATTTTACTGTTTGAACTTATTTTCTCAATTTCTCAATCATGCAGAGAAGATATAAGCACACTTGGTTTAAGTTTGTAATATGCTTTAAGAAGATATTTTTTTTAGACAGTGAATATAATTCTACTCTAAGTTATCTGGTTCCTAACCTTTTTAAAATACTTAAAATCTCAATTTGTGAATTATATTATATATAAAAATAAAGTATAACTCAAGGTTTTGATAATTGGTTCAATTTTAAGGATTCATGTAAATAGTCAAGATTCAAACATTGAAAGGTTTCATGATGACACAAATGCATAAATTGTTTAAAATTATTATTTTCTCAACATAGTTAAATTATATTACGATATCAGAAAAACACAAAATAATCCAAAATTAAGCTCATTTATAATAAAGGCTGTATAACATATTGACATTATCTAAATAAACAATATTTACACTCAATTAAATAAGCAGCACACCAGAAGCTAAGGTCGATTTCTCACATCACTTTTCCATAGTAACCACAAATGTGAAAAGCTGACTACAGGGAGATTTGAGGGTCATTTCTGAAGATAGAAAAGCTCCATTTTCAGAGCTATAGAAACTTAGCTATAAATCAGTATAAATAATATAATGTGAGAAGTTATTCTGGAAGATTAATATCAATTTATCTTTTAAATACTGTATCTACCATTTTCATTATCATTAGCACTGCTGAGAATAAAATGAAGATCACATTTCAAAAAAAAGTATCTTCTTAAAAGCCTAACCGAATAAAAATTATTGTCGCATGGGAACTTTGACTCCCAATAAATTATCATCTATATTAAATTACTTTTTTGGAATACCTATCTTTGTATCACAACTTATTTTTAAAGAAAAAAAATCCAAAAATACTATTAAAAGTTTAAGTGTTATTATCAGTAAAACTGTTGTCAAAGTGAAGTACAGGTTTTTAAAATAAGGCAATTAGCAACTCTTGTCTCATTTATATTATAAACAAAGAACATTTTAAGTAAGACTATTGCAAAGATAAATTAGCTTTTCAAAAGCAAATAACTTACAGTATACTCAATAGTCCCTTTAGGTTTCTGAAAAGACATTCGTCTCCCATCTTTCTTGTCTAGGCTCTTCTTTTGGCCAGTGTCTGAAAAAAAAAAAATAAATGAGGCAAAACCTCTATTAAATTCATGTTCCTTTCAGAGTAATGGTAAAAACTGCTAAATAGAGCTTACTGGGCTGATATCTATGAGATTCACTAGTAATACAGCTTGTTCCCTGGGATTCTTTGCTCTAACATAAAATCAACCATCAAAAAAGGAAATGCACTTCTCCCTGCTTGCTGTAGGAATTGACCAGTATAAAATACTAATAACTGGAAGTAAATGTCTTGTTCCTGATCTTAAGGGATATGCTTTTAGTTTTTGCCTACTGAGTATGTTGGCTGTAGGTTTGTCATATATGGTCTTTATTATGTTGAGGTATGATCCCTCTATTCCTACTTTGCTAGAGAGTTATTTTAATCAAAAATGGGTGTTGGATTTTGTTGAATGCTTTTTCTGCATCTATTGATATGATCATTTGATTTTTGTCCTTCATTTTGTTTGTTGTTTACACATTTATTAATTTACAAATATTGAACCATACTTGCATCCCTGGAATAAACCCTATTTTGTCATGGTGTATGATCTTTTTAACATATTGCTGGATCCTATCTCCTAATATTTTGTTGAGAATTTTAGCATCTATGTTCATCAAGAATATTAGCCTGTAATTTTCTTCCTTCATAGTGTCTTTATCTGGTTTTGGAATTAGGATAATCCTGGCCTTGTAAACAGATCTTGGAATCTTCCCTCCTCTTGAATCTATTGGAATAGTTTGAGGAGGATTGTAATTCTTCAGAAGTTCAGTAAAGCTCACCTGTGAAGCTATCTGGTCCAGGGCTTTTGTTTGCTGGGAGTTTTTTTATTTTCTTTTTTTCTTTTTTTATTAGATTCGATTTCATTAGCTATTATCGGCCTATTCAGGTTTTCTGATTCTTCCTGATTGAGTTTTGGCAGATTGTATGTTTCTAGGAATTTGTCCATTTTGCCCAAGTTGTCCAGTGTGTGTGCATATAGATGTTCAAAGTATTTTCTTACAATCCTTTGTATTTCTGTGATGTCAGTTATTACTTCGCCTCTTTCATTTCTGATTTTATTTGGGTCCTCTCTCTTTTTTTCTTGGTAAGTCTGGGTAACAGTTCATCAATCTTGTTTATCTTTTCAAAGAACCAGTTCTTGGTTTCAATGATCTTTTACAGTGTTTTTTAGTCTCTATGTCATTTATTTCTGTTTTGATGTTTAATATTTCTTTCCTTCTACTTTATCTGGGCTTTTCTTGTTCTAATTCTTTTAGTTGTAGGGTGAAATTGTTTATTTGAGCTTTTTCTTATTTCCTGAGGTAGCCTGTAATATTATGAACTTCCTTCTCAGGACTGCTTTTGCTGTGTCCCATAGATCTTAAACGACAGATACTTTACTTTTTAACTTAAAAATCACAAATCAAAAAAAAGCAATTACACAAGTATTCATTTTAAATAAGATTCAGAGAACTAATTTGTATGCATTCTGATATGCCTAGTTCTCTAAAACATAACAAATACTTTAAAAATTAACCTTATCACCCCAGCTGGTTTGGCTCAGCAATTAGAGCATCAGCCCAAGGACCGAAGGGTCATGGGTTCGATTCCCAGATAAGGCACATGCCTGGGTTGTGGGTTCAATCCCGGGTCCCGGTCAGGGTCATGTGGGAGGCAACTAAGTGCTGTGTCTCTCCCATATTGATGTCTCTATCTCTTTCTCCCTCCCTCCCTTCCTCCCTCTCTCCCTCCCTCCCTTCTTCCCTTCTACTCTATCTGAAAATCAATGGAAAAATATCTCTGGTGAGGATGAACAAAAATAAATAAATAAACAAATGAATAAGTAAAATAAAATGATAATATAAATAAAATTTAAAAAACAACCTTATTAATATTAATGCTAATAAGTATTTAATTTCACCATTTCTATAATTTACTTCTAACCTTACACATGGATAAAAGACCAACCCAGTAAGGAAAGTAGAGTGAAAGTGTGGTCCCGAGACCAGTAGCATCAGCATTACTTAGAAAGTTGTTAGAAATACAAATTATGGGGCCCAGCCCAGAAGTACTGAATCAGAAATTCTGGGGAAGGGGTCCAACATTTTTGGTTTAACAAGCCTTTCAGGTGATTCTGAGGTATACTTAAATTTGAGAAGCACTGCTTTATTGTACCCTCAACTACCCAGAGGCACTTTTGTCCTAAAACACAGATTACAGCCTTTCTGCGGGTGGACGCCACCAAGTAAGCATTATTCTTGTCTAAGACTGTCTCCCAAAGAGCCCAAAAGACAGAAGCAGCTGTCTGTAAGGAGGTTTGAGCTCTGAAACAACTGATGAGAGTCCAAGGAGCCATTCTGTGCTATGGCAAACACTCACAGACTCTGTGGTGATGAAAAATCCAAACACCAAATGATCCAGGGGCTTTGGGTCTGTCACGTATGCCAGTGTGGAGGATGGATGTAGCTATGAATGCAAGGCCACATGACATGGATGGAAGAACCAAAGCAGGCTGTCTCAAGAGAAGATTCTCAAAGACCTGGTGCCACTTAACTGTGAAAAAGATTGTCAGTGGTATTAAAGAAGACACAGAAGAACATCACCTAAGAGATTATTCTGAACAGAATGGGAAAATTGAGGTGACTGAAACTATGACTGACCAAGGCTGTGGCAAAAAGTGAGGCTTTGCTTTTGCAACCTTTGATGACCATGGCTCTGTGGACAAGATTGTCACTCAGAAACACCATACTGTGAATGGCCACAACTGTGAAGTAAGGAAAGCCCTGTCTAAGCAAGAGATGGCTAGTGGTTCATCTAGCCAGAGAGGTTGAGTAAGTTCTGGAAACTTCAGAGGTGGACGTGGAGGTGGTTTTGGTGAGAATGACAACTTTGGTTGTGGAGGAAACTTCAACTGTCGAGGTGGCTTTGGTGGCAGCCATGGTGGTGGTGGCTATGATGGAGTGGGGATGGCTGTAATAAATTTGGTAATGATAGAAGCAATTTTGGAGGTGGTGGAAGCTACAATAATTTTGGCAATTACAACAATCACGCTTTAATTATGGACCCATGAAAGGAGAAAATTTTGGAGGCAGAAGCTCTGGCCCTATGGTGGTGGCCAATACCATGCCAAACCACAAAACTAAGGTGGCTATGGCAGTTCCAGTAGCAGCAGTAGCTATGGCAGTGGCAGAAGGTTTTAATTACTGCCAGGGACCAAGTTCAGCATGAGAGGAAAACCAGAGAAGTGTCAGGGAAGCTCCAGGTTACAACAGATTCATGAACTTAGCTAAGCTCAGTGGTGGCAGGGCCTAGCTGCTACAAAGAAGGCATGTTTTAGATAATACTCATGTGAATGGGAAAAAAAACTCAAGGACTCTATTTTTGACATTGTATAACAGGTTATTTTAGTTTCTGTTCTGTGGAAAATGTAAAGCATTCCAACTAATGGTTTTAAAGTAGTTTTTTTTTTTTTTTTTTTTTTTTTTTTGCACCCATGCTGTAGATTGTTAAATATAATGGTCTGATCACAATGCTGAATAAATGTGTCTTTTTAAAAACATAAAGTTAGTCTACTCTGAGGCCATCTTTGTAAACTACCACAACAGTGTGAAGTCAGAATTCTTTCAGGGTGATGCCAGGTTCCACTTGAAATTTATTTACAACCAGCTTGGATGCAGAAGCCATTGTCTTCAGAATCCTTGGCGTAGTTGAGTTGACAAGTTATTGAGTTGTGACCTGGAGTTCACCATTAAAAGGGTCACCCAAGCAGAGTCATGGAGTTTGTTTGGCTATTAACAATTGTTGGTACATCCTATGCAATGTTTCTAAATTGAATTATGGTTCCAGACAAAATTGTGGTTCGTAATGAAGCATGTGTATCATCCATTATCATGTGTAATCTATAAATTATTTAATACCCTCTTGAAAAAAATAAAATAAAAAACCACAGACAGTACAAAAGACTTCATAGCTATCCTGTGATTCTAACAAAGGCAAATCTACCTCCTACTTGAGAACCACTGGATTAAGGGAACAATACTATGAACCTGAACTTAGTTGGAGTTACCATCACAACAGACTAAAGTCGTTTATTAAGATTTTCTTCTCCCCCTCCTACCACCCACTTTAAGAAATGAGAGAGAGACTGCAGACATCTAGGGTTATCATCTTCCAATACTGGCCAATACTGACCTGTTTTTTAAAAACAAGCATGTGTCATTTAATGACAGGAATACATTCTAACAAATGTGGTATTAGGTGGTTTTGTCACTGTTCGAACATCCTAAGAGAACACTTACACAAACCTGGATGGTAGAGTCTACTACACACTTAGTTTCTATGTGGTATAGCCTATTGCTTCTAGGCCACAAACCTGTACAGCATGTTACTGTACTGAATACTGTAGGTGACTATAACACAATGGTATTTGTGTATCTAAACACACTAAACAACAGGAGATTAAATCCAGCACAAGAGAAAATAATACAATCAAGAGATGTGGTAAACACAAGATGCATGAGGCTGCTACCAGAGTAACATGGCACCATTTTACAAGAAATATTTTATTTTTTATAACTAGAAAGAGTACAAGAGTACACTTAATGACAAGTAGTATAATAAATATACAAACTAGTAGCATAGTTGTTTATCATCATCTTACGTACTATATATTTGTATATACTATACTTATGTACAACTGACATGACAGGTTTTTTTTTATACCAGCATTACCACAAACATGTGATGTGTTGCACTATGACATTAAGATGGCCACATCACTGGGCAACAGAAATTTTTCAACTCTATCATTAGCTTATGGGACTACCATCATCTATGCAGTCTCTCACTGACCAAAACATTGTTTTGCAGTGCATAACTGTAGTTTCTATAATAATTGGTACCCCAGATCCTTTAGAGCCACTTGGTCTTTTCTGGGTTCAACATAAACTTTCATCTAACTCTTCCAGATAATGTGTATCAGCAATTTCCAACATATATCTAACTGTTGTAACACATTTACTGGATTT